TCATTTCATTTCATCCCGAAACAATTGCCGATCGCGCGTTGCACGTGTACCTGCTGCGCCAGCCTAAGTCACGCCCGTGCCCATATTAGGATTTTGTCAACGAATCCTACGACGCTCGCTCGGGCTATGAAACAATTGCTAAGCGCGGAATTTGTGGCAAGCTTTCGCAAAGCAGCGATCTTTGACATCCGCGAATGAATCCGCGGAAATTCTTCGTTCTGATTAGTCGCACTTAAATGCTTCTCATTTAAAAACTATCGCGAATTTTGGCAAACGGTTTGCGGAAGGGTACTCAGGGCACCTCCAGGCATCGCCCACTTTCCGGTCCAAAAGCAATTCTGGGACACCCTGTAGTTTGAGGATACTATCAGTACGTTCAAAGTAAGTACTTTGGAATTCCTGCAACGTACCCGCCAAGTAGTACTCGGGAGAGATCTGGTCGTGAGAGAATATTGCGACATGTATTGGGTGTTAGCCCAATGTAATGGCAACCAAACACAAACAGCGCAAGAATGTGCAATTAGGTACCCTAATCGGCGACATCCTGATAAAAATGTTATGTACTCTACAATATTTACTGTTTCAGAATAATCATTATCATAGAAAATGTATGTAATTGTTGCAGATTAGCATATCCAGATCCAAGCTCGGTCATGCATAGATCAAAATCGGTCCTTTTCAGGACCACTCAAAACGTAATACGTTGCTACAACTATCTTGTGACATTAAAGGAATAGACATTATAAGGAATAAAGGGTACCATCTGAAATTCACTGACGTTACAGCACAGTACTGTACAGTACAGTACAGACGTTACTGACGTAGCACAGTTCCTCCTCCACAGCCCGTACGTACAAACAGCCGAAAAAACACTGCCCTTCGTGGAAGGGGGCGAAGAAAGCGTTTAAGGGCGGCGGTATGCCATCTAGCAGCGGCCCGTCAAACGCTTCCTCCACCCCCTCGGGCAGTGTATCAGGCGCCCGTGGTGCCATAATCTGTAACGTTTCAGTTTTTTTTTTTTAATAAATATGTTTAAAGCAAATACAAAGCTGTGTAGTCTTAAAATTATTACACTTACCGATCTAGTAACAGGCTCGGTATTAGGGCGTTAGCCGCGGTGCTTCTGCTGCTCCTGCTGCTGCCGGTCAATGTCTACAAATAAGTGCGAAAGGCGATAGAAAGACAAACTTTTTTTAATCAAATAAAAAAAAAACGAGTACTAGCTTAAAGCTGCTATACATACCACTTTCTTCTTTTTTAAATAGTCTGCTAAAAAAACAGGTGCGCTCGGCGCTGAGTCCGGTTACTTGGCTACAAATAAAAGTAAAAGATACCATATATAATTTTTTAATCAAATAAAAATCAAATAATCAAATAAATTTAATAAAATAAAATAATACCAGATTAAGCTTAACGCTGTTATACATACCACTTTTATTTTGAACTTCACTTCTTCACTTTCACTTTTATTTTTCTTTTTTTTTTTGTTCTTGCACCTACTAGTTGTCGTCGCTGTACTAACAAGATGCTGCGAGGATGGTTCACAGGTAACCATCTTTCTCCCCACCATAGCCCTGATTTTTTGCATAGTTGCAAATAAGAGATGCACGTAGTAGGGGTTACGAGGGCCTGTAATTCATAGGGTTGGTCAAGACAGTGGTACCCCCCCCCCCCAGATCTTTCGTAGTAGGTAAATCCGAAATCTGTCACCTACAACTTGACGTGAGCGATAAAAGCGTCACACGTATTTATGTCTTTCTGTTCCCATCGCGAGACCTGGAAGTGTCAACGGATGCTGACGAGGAACGATACCTCCTTATATGCATTCCGTAAGTGCGATGATGATTGACTCTTTCGTCATCACTGGATTCAGAAGTAGAGTTCGCGCTCGAACTCGAAATAGAGACATCTCGGTAATGTCTTCTGTGATACCTATCGTAAGGGCTTGGAGAGTTTGGGTACGAAACTCGTTTGTGTGATCGCTTACTCGTGTGGTTTCTTGTGGACCTCCAGTAGCCATCTGGCGAATCACTGTCATAATTATTCCGAGCTCGCTTATGATTTTTAATTTTCCTTTCTAGTTCCATGACTAGGTCGAATCCAGCATCTAACGATTTTGGATTTTTTATTACAACCTCTTGGCGTATATCACGATGTAATCCTTTTCGAGAGTATATTCTTCTAATTCCTCTTTCCTTTCTTTGTCGTTGCGATATTACTTGAGTTTAGCGGCTCGTCCCTTTTTATATAGTTTCGTTGTTCTATTTATATATTTTCTAAGACTTTCCGTCTTTCCTACTCTCAGTTTTCCTATTTCACCAAGGAAAGAAGATAAATTTCTTCCTGGAGCGTATCGGTTCTTTAGGTGTTCTACTAGATCGTCAAGTGTGGTGAAATCTTTTTCTTCTACGCCAGCTCGCGCGGCTCCACGGAGTTTGTTTAATACTTGGAGAAGATATCGCGATTTTTCGCCAGCTACTAACTGTTGTGCTCAAGTTTTTGCAGCGCGTACAAAATTTTTAAGTGAGGTTGACTCACCGTCATATTTGGGAATTGCTAACGCTGCGTTTCGTATTCTAGCTTGCGATTCTGTGAAGTTAAATGTTTCTATTAGGAATCGAGATAGATCTGCATCCACCATGTTGGAGGAACAAGTTTGAGCAGTTCCGAAATGGTTATTTAACAAACGTCCAATATATATATGTGACTGAACTCGTTCGTGGTACCAACTTGATTAGGGTGGTTTGAAATGATAGGATTTCCAAGATGACAATGGGGAAGTTGACCCGAAGTCCAACTTCCTTAGTTAAGCTTAGAAAGGATAGGTTACTTTAAAAATAACAATGGGGAAGTTGACCCGAAGTTCAACTTCCTTAGTTGATTTCTGAAGGCAGTTAAGGGGCTCAAGAATAACAATGGGGAAGGTGTCCTGAAGTACAACTTCCTTAGCCGGTTCTTGGAAGAGAAGAACTTCAAAAATAATAATGGGGAAGGTGTCCCGAAGTACAACTTCCTTAGTCAGTTTTCGAAGTTGGAACACTAGTTTGGAGGGAATCCCACCACTGTCACTAATTCTGTTACGTAGGCCGTAGCGGCTAGCGAGGCCTATAAATTTGATAACAAAAATGTAGAAGTAACCAAAAGAAAAAGAACGACCAGAGATAACGTGAATAATATTTGAGTGAACTCCGAGCGGTAAGAACCCACTCAATGGTGGGTTCGCTGCTCGTTTAACGTGTTGAAACACGCCTTGCTATTCCAACGTGGATAGATATTCCCTGAAATGTCTAAGAATGGGTAATAGATATTTAAGACGCGAGTAAAATGTGAATTTGCGATATATTGTTACAAATTATTTGGTAGTTTTCAATTGAATATTGTTGTGTACATTTTCGCTTATGAGAAATACTGGGATAAAAATCGTGAAATTGGATTACAAAACCTGACTGTATGTGCGGTTAAGGCGAAAAGAAATTTGGTGGAACAGAAAATTATCTAGTATATGCGTTAATTGGAAAGACTAGTCTATGCAGCTCAATTTTGCCCGGTAACCGATCCAGCTTGTTACCTAGGGTATGTAATAACGAATCCGTACCTAGGCCAGATTGCGAATATTACACAGAATCTAATACTCTAAGGGTTAAATCCACGAGTGACAATGTGCAGTCCGATCTTTCGCGCGTGAAACTAAATATTTTCTGAGCGTCTCTAGGTATGGTTGGGACTTTAGGAATGTACTCAAATAAGCAGCTGGGTAGGTGACACAGGCAGTGCACTGGGTAACGTGTTGAGTCTGCAATTATATTGACTGTCGGCTATGTTATTATTCTGTTTCAGAATGAAGGACGATGTACGTAACAATATCCTACCACCACCACCGCCGCCAATAGATCTTGTTATCCTGCGCTGATCCGCCAAATGTTTCTTTCACATAAAAGCGTCGTAGTATTCTCGGGCGATTCTATCGTTTCCCCGCAAATCAGCACTAAACACATTCTGGAAGGCATGCATTCCGAAGCCGGAGGAGAGGTAGTGTAAAAGCATCATGCAGAACTGGCCGCACACCGTCGATGTCCCGCTCTGAAGCTGCTGAATATTCCATCGGAAGAATCGAAAGTTCCGTCGGAGTTTCGGTGCGTGATAATGATTCAGCGGTGATAATCTGTAGCTGTCAAAGTAGTAGCCGTCTTCGTCGGCGTCCACGTACATGGCAACCCAATGCGATCCCAGGTTCGTATGATCGTCCGTGTTGGCGACAATGGCAGGGGGTTTCGACCAGTTTCGGGGTATGCTATCAGCTGCGTAGACACCCGCCGTATGCTCAGATATACCGTGAAGGTCGAGGTAAAAGTCTAGTGTCTTCATATATGCGGTTCGTTATTCCGAAGCCAGAATTCAAAGCGTAAGGCGTTCTTCAGGGCGCAAGTAAACAACCCTCGTGCTTCCTTACAGGCGATAACGATGTACTCGTAATGGTGACGATTCGTCGGAAAGTCCTCGCATGGTGAGTCATCGGGGGTTTCATCCAAATTTATAACTTCCCTCGTCATGACGGTCTGCAGAAAAAGCACGCTCTCCGGACCTTGCGTGTATATGTTCCGTGAAATATCGGCTATATTTCGGAAATTGGCGTATAACTGTTTGTACGTTATACCGCCGTCGAACCACTCTAGGCGGTGCTAATAGGGAGTCATGGTGTTGTTCTCGCTTCTGATCGCCGGTGGTAATTCGTTGAAATCACAGGGCGGTGAAACAATCCAGTGGCCTATGTATCTTCTTTCCACAGACACGACGCCCATTTCCTTCGAAGGCAGACGCCCCTCGGAGTCTTTGAAGTACTCTATCTTGATGACGAAATCCATTGTTGCGGTGCTAACTCGAAAGCGTTCAACGGGAAACTAACGACAATGCTAACGACCACCAACAATACCGAGTGCAGAAAAGGACGATGACGCATACTCCAAATTGGTGACCTATGTATTTTCTTGGATTGTTTAGCCGCCGTAATTTATGACGATCTGACGCGAGGCGTCGATTTCCAAAACGTTATCGTACTCTGCGTATACGATACAGTCCACGGTAGTGGCCAGCGGCTCGTCGGAACGTACCTCGATTCGTACACTACCGTGCTTGATCAGGTTCCAGTGAGTGTTGCTGTTTGCCGAGAGATCGGGTGTGAGATCGAAAACGAACAGGCAGTAACCGTCTGCGTAAGCGCTCTTAGATATCGAATTACCCTCGTTGAGAAAGTTTATACCCGTGCCACTGAAGAGGGTATGATACGCGTCCACGTAAAGACCGGCTTTATCGAAATCGGTCTGCAGTGCTTTCGAGGGTACTTGAACGCCGTCAACGTACAGCGATAAGAAATTAATACAATAGTTTTTAAAATTGAACGGGTTGAGCTGATGGTTACCGTTGAAAGCCTTGTTATAGATGAAACCTATTATAATCCGCTTAGATAATTTCCTGAGACTCACGTTATCCATCGTGCTACCGTGCAAGCCAGCGTGCATCGTTAGTACCTTGACCTCCACGCGCGTAAGCGGATACTTTGCCGTCATCTTAGACAGCATTTTAGAATGCGCTAGCAGAATACCAGGGTTTATTTTGGTACGTCTAACGAGGAGCGTGACCTCTGTTATATGTAAAGAACACTCCCTCTTGGGTTCCATGAGGGAGAAGCCGTCTCTTGTGCGTATGAGGCGTAAATGGTGCTCGACGCTGTTTAATGAAACTATTTCTTGGTTAAATACATCGCAGTGTAAATGACCGATCAGATCGACCGTGCTGTTTTTACCGACGAATGCTTGCCTATTCGCGAGACCTATATTCTTGCCTGCTGTATCGTGCATATGACCGGGCGTGTCGTTGTACCAGAGCACGCTTGAAAGGTGTGACTCCTTAGCGGCGGGCCCGTAATTTAAAAACGTCTCTATATAGGCCCTGTAAGCGTACGCGTTATTAGGCAGCGAAACGAGATTTTGATTAAGAAACACGTCCACCTGATTGACCAGCGAGTGTAGCAGATTGTTAACAGGGGCTGCTTTGCTCAGAGCATCCGGCACTAACGCATTCTTGGATCGCAGCTGTACGCGTAAACTCAGCATGGTGTGGGCTAGGTTACAAGGCGACGAGGCGACGAGGTATTCGTCGCCGTTACCCGGCACGACAAACTCAATGGGCGAGTCATCGGTCAGCGATGAGATGGGCTTGTAGTGTACCCACTGGGCGCTCTCTATAGTAGTCTGCGTCGGTGGTAGTGTAAAGAGTTCAGGCTCCGATTTCATACACTCGCAGGAGTACGCGTGTAGAAAGGCCATGATAGAGGTAGCGCTCTGGAGAAGATATCTAGCAGACTCCGCTTTCTTTGTTTACTACCGATCCTGCGACTATTTTTTGATTTCTTGGTTGTGGTCTGTATTCTCTTACTATTACTTTTTCTACGCGGGGCCACCTTTTTTTTCGTGCTCCTTTTTTTCTTACGCTTGTTAGCAGTTCTTAATGGTAAGGCGATGCTCCTCCCAGCAACGACGTTAATAGAATGGCCACCGCGTGATCTTTTTACAACTTTATAACCCGATCCTTTCATGAACTCGTCAATTTTCGCCTTCGCTTTACGTTTAAGATTCATACCCGATTCGGCAGCGCTGGTGCGAAACGCCTGTTTCAGAGGGGTACCGCGCTCGTTGACGTCTGTCGGGATATTCACGCCCGCGCGCACTGCCACCTTACCGACGGCTCTGGCCCCTCTCGATAGTAGAGGTAGCACGCGCCGAAACAGACCACCGAGAAAGGTCCCGATACCATGCCCACGTTGATACGGTGACCCTGCGAAAATCCGAAATTTCATGGAATAACCCCCACCGATCTGCGACTCGCAGTAATCGGTGTAATGAGCCATCAGTCTAGCCGTTTAAAGTGTATTGTTACGGAGAGCGTCCCTGATTCGAATGGTATAAGTTTGGTCAGTTAGTCTCTTATATCGATGTCGATCGCTTGAAAAGTTGTGCGGAGCAGCGTCATATACTTTACCGGTGAAAATAAGAGCACTTTTACGGCGGTATACGCGTATTTGTTATCTGTCTGCAGAAGAACCACCTGAAGCAGGGGCGTCTAGACGTCTCCGGTGACGTCGGTGTAAACGAAAAGCATCTTAGGTAGGACGTTGATCAGACTAGCCGGTTGATTTGCCATCACAACGGGCTCTGCTTTCGATACCATGACCGATTCAGTAAAACCCAGGATGAGCGCCAGAGATCAGCAGAGTCTTAGCTCGTATGGATCGTCTAGATGGTTATCGATAGATAGGAGCGATACGCTCGTTTAATCGCCTCTACAGAGCTCTAGTTTCAGACGGCTCGTCATAACCCGGGTAGCGTTTATTTTGTCAAGTGTCTTTACGTCATCGTAAACACCGTGCGCCACGTTAAAACCCGTCATCATAAAGCCCACTATCGGTTCTTTGTGGTTCTTCCTCGGTTTGGTGCGGGTGGTTACCACACCCACGTCATCCCAGTCTTTTAGCTATGCGGGCATGTGAAGAAAGGTCATAGGGATTTGTATTTCGACCAGAGCAACAAACCACGTCCCGTGTAAATCGATCTGATGCGGTAAATGCGTCGTAAAATAGATAGTTTTATTTTCGGGATAGTATGACATACTGCTGTTACAAGGCAAAACGAGATAAAAGTGGTCTTTCATTGCTCTTTAAGCGGGACGCCGGTATTCATTAATAAAATTTCTCGGGGTAGCCTACGCAGCTGACCAGTACTTTTTGGGCTTTCCCACGACCGCTTCGTTTTATTACACGATCGACTAGAAACGTGTCCTTTGCGACGTCCTTGCGGACTCGAATGAGATCCTCCTCGTAAAAAATACCGTCAATTTCCTCGCCGGCGAGGTCTTCTAAGATGTAGACGGGCGTTCCCTCATTGTACCCAGCGCTACTGATGCGTATCAGGTTACCGACACCGTTTTTAAGGATTGCGGGCTCGCTGTGGCGTCGCACGTCGATAGGTTCATACGTGCCTTAACGACGTTATACATGGTTACGTCGACTGGGCGCATTCTTATCGTAGTGTCGTGTCCTGTTGTACGATTCCACGAGGCTCTGAAGAATATTTATGTACCGCCGCGTGTTTCTATGTGTAAAGTGACGCCACATACGATCCTTCAGAGTACGATTGTAGCGTTCGACGACAGCTGTCTTTACGTCGGGGCTGCGTGTTTCACGGAATCCTATACCGAACTTCTCGAGCAGACGCTGCATTACACCGTTGGTAAACTCTTTACCTTTGTTTGCTTGTAGGTACATGAGTATCCTATTCTTACTACGTGCTAAAACCCTCCGGAATGCCGTTGCTACCGTCGCACTGGTTTTATTGCATAAAGACTCGATCGAAGCGTATTGGCTGAGTATATGGATTATTACAAGTATATATGTGTAACCATTGTTGTACTCCTTCAACGAACAAAAGTCCACAAGATCGGCCTCCGAAACGTCGTTGATATTGCTGACGGTGTAATAGCGGCGCTGAAACGTACGACGTACGGGCTTATGCAGCGTATACGCGTCCTGCGTCTCTAACCAACGTACGACGGAATCCCGCTATACCCTACCCGTAGCCGCTCGCTCGAGGTTACCGATACCGGCGTACGAAGACGGCTCTGCTGGTGTATAATAAAGACGCCTCAGAAGGCTGTCATCACCCACTTTCTTCTTCTTCTGTTTCACGCCAGCCTTAACCATTCTACTCCTTGTTTTCTCGGTATCGCTGGCTGTACTGACCGACACGGATCGCGTATATTTTTTCCCCACGAGCTCTTCTTTCCCGAAGTCTCTAAACACTTCCTCAAATGTCTCGACATTTCCTCCTCTGTAGACGGGCTCCGAGTCGTCTCGATTGGGCGCGGTACATAGACGCTAAATTACCAATAAATTCATGCGGTATATCACCAGTACGGAGGAACCGCGCAAACTGCCGGCTCCCCGACGGTCCTGCACGACGGCTCCACCAATACGCGTAACTTTACTCCACGAGATGCGTGCCGAGCCCGCGTTGCGCAACATTCCTAGTAAGAGGTTAGCCTTAGTTTTGTACTTTTGGGGTACGCTGGCGATGATCTCGTCGTCACCATCATCGGTCGAGCTCCTGGCGTTATCCTCCGCAGAATTGTTATTTTTTTTCTGGTCATTGTTATCGCCTCGTCTATCCTCATCGACGTTATTTCGCAGGTCTTTGATAAAGTGTAGATAGCGCTGCAGCACCTGATTGTACATTTTCCACTTTTCGCGCTTGTCAATACAATTCGGCGAGTGTAGGATCTCCTTCATGAATGCGTCTAATCTGCTTAAGGGGGTCCCAAGGGTTTGCACGGTATTTACGGTGTCGACATCCTGGTGGTGGTGGTGGTGCGTGTGAGACATCGCACGGTGGCGCTGCTGGTGCACGGTATCCATGCTCTCCTGAGGGATGAGAACCATCTTTTTGGCGTGCTCCATCTCGCTCTCTTTCTTTGCGGCGTATACTTTATCCGCCTCTCCCTATGAGTTTCGACATAACGGTACCCTGTATGAGTGCTAGCAAAAGAGGCAGAAAACCACCGCTCTGAATGATAAGTCGTTTTCTAGATTTGACGGCGGAACCTGGCCTGGATAAACGTCGCGCGGATTTTTAAATACAACGATGTAGTTGGCGCTCAACGAGATATCGCGCTGTCCGGACCCCTGATGAAAGAGATTCTGCGTGATAAAGATAATGCTGATGTTTTTATGATGGCTGCCTTTTGGTAAAAAGGTCGACTACCGTGTTATTGGATGATTCCCTCATCAGATCGTTCATGATGACGAACTTTGGGCGCTGATCGTTGCCGTAATCGGTGTTCTGCGGCAGGCCCCCGTCAAACTCTATAACGCTTCCGTACTGTCTGTACCCCTCCTGCCACTCTGCATAATAAAAGAGAATGCGCGCGAAGCGCACGTCACTCATGTCCTCGATGAACCGTAGGAATTTCTTTACGAAAAACGTCTTCCTGCACCCCCTGGGTCCGAAGACCATCGACGTCCACGGGTGCTTCCACCGCGTGTCCATTATGCCAAATGAGAGTATTCGGCGATGCTCTTTACGAATATACTATTAAAAAGTCAATCGAGCTTTACGCCCCCTGCCGTTGCGGGGGACGGGCCGCGGTGGGCGCGCGACACGCGTGAGGTTCGTACGTCGCGCGCGCATGCTAGCTCTTACCAGCGACGTTGCTAGCCCCTCGCCTGGCCGAGCTCATCGTGCCCCCTTGTAAGCTAATCGCCGGTATGTATCTGCGTCAACCATATCGCTAGCCAATGTGCACGGCTAGCGTGCCCGAAGCGTCGCTGAAAAAAAAACAAATAACGTGGAGGGGCTGGTAGAGCCTTCGGGAATACATCGATAAATGAGATTTTTTTTTCAAATAAATACGTTTTATTACTATTATTATTCAGTGGGGTACATTTTTTTAAAAATAATAATAGCTACATAAATCCGCATCGCAGAGATCCGAAACAACCGTCGCGCCGCCTTTTTTTGAAGCTCTGTCGGTTTACACGTTTTTGATTTTAGACGCGTCACCATAGTATGTCGTGAAACAGTACGACGTATTGCGCCATAGTGTAAAACAAAAGTTCGTTGGTCTCTCCCGTTACATAAGAGCGTATCCAATCGTAATTAATGGCTAGACTCGTTGGGTGGTCGATCGTGATACCCTTGACCTTGCAGACCTCAGCATGAGAACCGTCTGGCTTGCGCACCCGGTACGCGTAAAATGTCGGCCCTCCCGATACGAAAGACCTGATATAGCTGCCATCACCGTACGACTCCAGCTCGTCCGTTAAATCGCCCGAGAGTCTGCCAAGCGGCGGCTCGTAAGCGTTATCGGCGTGACGACCGCCCGATACGTATATACACGAGTCAGTGTCGTAATACAGAACACGTGTATTTAATACATCCAGGTAGTCATACAATTTCAGACGAGCCTCAGTCGTAGTGTACGTGGCTATAACAACGTTTGTATACGCGTTGGGTATCAACGATTCGCTCATGCTACTTCTACTGACGTAGAGCATCTCGTTATATACGGGCAGAATACCCGTAATCGTTATACCACGCTAAAAATTGGTTACGCTGAGCCGACGGCATCGTATCGAGCGAATGAAACTCAAACGCCGGTAGCGGTCCGATTAATGCTGATCTCAGGTGTGTTGAATAGATGCGGAAAGATGCCTTTTTGTTTCAAACCAGGCGCATTCGCGAGGCCGAAGGCTTTTGGTAGTGCGCTCAGTGGCATG